TTAATATTTCAGTTAAATATAGGTTGACAACAAATTTATTTAAAAAAATTGTGGTCAAAATTAAAAAAAAACTAAAATAATTTATAAATTTGTTAGTATATAAATTATGGTTACTGAGAGCTCTTTAAAAATTATTATTTTAAAAGTTTTCTGTTTAATTCTTACAATATGCGTATATGGTGCGAAACAGCCAAAAATAACTAAAAATAATTTCGATAAAATCTAGTTAGTGAGACTACTGCTTCTACTAACATGTTTTCTCCTGTAAGTTGGATAGACAACAAAGAACACCTTAAAAATTTAAAATTTTTCATTTTAACTACAACAAATATTTTTTTCATTGAGATTGGATGAATAATTTTCATTTCAACTAAGCATTATTGCAAATTGAAAATAAGTTAACAATTAAAACTAAGTCATTCGTCTGAGTAAGATACGAATAATCATCCACTTGAGTTTAACAATGTATATTTTCTACGATCCCTCTATACCAGCTTACGGCGAGTAGCATTAGATAATGACATTGTCCTTAGTTGAGTTTTGTTAAATTATAATAAAAAAAAAACAACAAAGACCCAATTTTTTAAAAAAGTTATTTTTTCTGATGAATTTACATTTCTCCTAAGTGATCATGTTAATCGTCAAACTTGTCGGTATTGGCATAAGAACCTTCCACACTGGATACAGGAGTACCATACTCAATACCTAGAGAAAGTAGGATCTCAATTTTTCGAAGAAAGAACTGATCCTCGATATTTAGAATTTTTACAAAACTTCTTGATCCTGGAATTGAATGGGTTATTCCTAAACAGAAATGATTTGTGGCTATACCAGGATGGTGTGCCTCCATACTATGTGGTCCATACTATGTGGATAGGTAGCCAATAGAATGGCCACTTAGTTCACCAGATTTAACTCCTCTTGATTTTTTATGACGATACTACTTGAAAAGTAAAGTGTACCAAAATGATCAAAAAATATCAATGAACTAAAAGAACGGATACGCATTTATGTATTACGGTTTTTACCAAATTTGTTTTTAAGTATCAAGTAATACATGATAAAAATAATAATTGTTTTTAACAATAAACAAAAATCAATTATTTAGATATATTGATATGGCTGAATAGATTTTTCAAATGCTTTTCAAATGGTATCCGCCAATATGGTGTAATATGAATTGCGAATAGGCGCACAACGACAGATATCCCCACAATCCCCACGTGCCGGGTCGTTGGCAACGTTGATATTATTTGTTTCCTTCTCGAACTAATGCGAAGTCTCTGTAGTTTTCGCTTCGACACTAGCAGAACGTATTGGAAGGTTTAAAATACCCGATGCTGTATAACACCCACAAGATGTTAAAATAAAAAAATAATCTTACGAAACGCCCGTTTACAAATAAAAATCGGGTAGCACAAAATTGATCGAAAATATTTGATCGAATACATTTAATTGAAAACATTTGATCGAAAAAACAATATATCAAATAACAATTGATTGAAACGAAAAATGATCGAAACGAAAAATGATCAAAAATAAAAATGATCCAAAAGAACAATGATCGAAAAAAGATTTGATAGAGAAAGTAATTGTTTGAAAAACCAAATATACATAAAATGAGAAAAATAAAAAACTTACCTAATTTACCTAATCTGCGCAGCCTCGATCCATGGTAGGTTGGTTCGCAGAAAAAAATATACAAAAAATGAGAAAACTAAATTACCTAATCTGTGCACTCATTTTTTTGTATACTGTTTTTTGTGAAGTAACCCGTGATTGCTCCAGGCCGCAAAGGTTAGGTTAATTACTTAATGGTTATTTTATTTTTTCTCATTTTATGTATGTCTTTTTATGAAGCAATCCGCCATGGCTCCAGTCCGCAGAGGTTAGGTAAATTAGTTAAGTTTTTTTATAATTTTATGTAAAACAAAAATGCGCTCTTTTGATCGAGAGCTGTTTTGACTGACGCTATTTTATTAAGTGCTATTTCATTCAGGCGCTCTTTTAATACGCGTTATTTCATTAAGCGCTATTTCTTGACAAAGTCGGTGATTTTCGATGTCTTGTTTTTTTGATAAAATATATTTTCAATCAAACGTTATTCGATGAAATATATTTTCGTAGAAATGTCATTCAATAAAATATATTTTCGATCAATTTTGTGTCACCCTAAAAAGCGACGGGTTCTAGTAATAATATCATACTGTATATAAAAATATATTAGTAATTTTTTGTTATCTATTTTGAAATAGGTATACAGCTAATGCTTCAAATGCTTTTAATTCATTTAATGCGTACTTCTTGGTACTTATTTGTAAATTATAGATCTCTATTTGCTCTTACTAATAGCGTGTTCGATTCCACTGCTAGGCTTGCTCTGGGAGTATACGAAAGGTGGAAGATATGTCGATACCAGTTATTTTTCACTCTAAAAAGTAAGCAGTATCGATATATCGCTCATCTTTTATGTGCACTCCCCGCAGGCAGGGCAGTGTAATCGAAAATGATATAAGTAATACACATTTGTATGTATAATTTCATCCCAAGTAACACACAAAGTCACTATCACTTTTTAATTAATTTTAATATTTTTTAGCCACCTCTTTGTTTTCTTTTTCTTTTATAATAATGGTGCAGTTATATATTATACCAAAAAGATGTGTACTTCAGGCGCGTGTTTAAAGTACTTCTATAGCCATTTTTTTTAATTGCAATTTACTTTTTTGATATAAGTTGACGTATTTAATGATAACATTTCAACACGCTCTCAAAATAACCTTTTTTAAATTTTTTTGACAATATAATTAAAAAAGGCACGATTAAAAATTTTTATATTTATAAGGGAAATATTTTGAATATTTTTTAAATCGTTTTTCGAAAAAGTTTATGATATCAATATAAATTATTGTCTATTTTTTGATTAAAACCATTTTTGATTTTTTAACTTTTAGCATTAACTAATAATGGCCGCCTTTAACAAAGGTATTATAAAGTAAGTCCTCCACTAAAAGGTAGTGAAACTCTATAGTGGTCTTAAGTCAAAATAAAATAGTGACAAAAACTGCAAATTATTTCGCTATCCATATTGCCACTATAATACCACGATATTTTAAAGTTCCAAGTGGTGGTTATTGGAACTATTCTAGGACCTTTTTGCCTCTCTATGTACCCAGTTACTTTATTTAAGCATATTAGTGACTTGGGGCCTAGTAATTGCCACTATCACTTTTTAATTAATTATAATATTTTTTAGCCACCTTTTTGTTTTCTTTTATAGTAATAGTGCAGATATACATTATACCATACAGATGAGTACTTTAGAGGTGTGTTTAAAGTACTTATATTACCTTTTTTTTTAAATGCAATTTATTTTATTGATATAAGTTGACGTATTAAATGATAAAATTTCAACACGCTCTCATAATAACTTTTTTAATTTTTTTGACAAAATAATTAAAAAAGACACGATTAAAAAATTTCATATTTATTAAGGAAACATTTGGAATACTTTCAAAATTGTTTTTCGTAAAAGTTTATGATATTAATATAAATTATTGTCTAGTTTTTGATTAAAACCATTTAGTATTTTAGCAACAACTAATAATGGCCGCTTTTAACAAAGTCCACCACTAAAAGGTAGTGAAACTCCATAGTGGCCTTACGTCAAAATAAAACTGCAAAGTACCAACAGAAATTATTTCGCCATCCATATTGCCACTATAATACCACGATATTTTAAAGTTCCAAGTGATGGTTATTGGAACTATTCTAGGACTTTTTTGCCTCTCTATGTACCCAGTTTATTTAGGCATATTGGTGATTCTGGTTGGTAGCAGTAATTAATTCACTGGTACTATACCGGATGTTCAAATTAAAGTGTTACAGCTATATACCGCCTTTTATAAAAAACAACGTTTCAGACCAAAGTTTTGGTTTTGTGGGGAAAAATTTTTGCCTAAAATCGTTTTTTATAGCTAACCATAATATGGCCAACTTTTTTTTCTCCCAGCAAAATTTTCAAGTAGCTGTTACTCAAAAAGTAAAAGTCCAATAAAAAAAATATTTTCATCAAAAGTTTCTTATTTTTTTTATGTACTTTAAGAATATGTAAAAAAATGGGATTTCCATTTAAAAAAATAAAGTCCACCTCGATATGGCCATATTATGGTCAGCTATAAAAAATAAATATAGCCAAAATGTTTCCCCCAAAAAACTATAAAACTTTTGTCTGAAACTTTTTTTCTAAAATGCATATTTTCGGCGGTATTTAACTGTAACACTTTAATTTGAACACCCGGTATAGTTTTTGGCACTATAGAGTAACAAAATAATACTGCCCAGTTATAGTAACTACCTAAATGTTACTGTGACTATATTCTTGGACCTTTTTACCTATTTATTTACCTCTGTTACTTTATTTAGTCATATTAGTGGGTGTAGTAAGTGATTCACTGGTACTATATAATTGTTGCCACTATAGAGTAACGTTAAAGTGATACTGCACAGTTTCAGTAACTACCGAAATGTTAGTTTTACTTTGGGTGTTTACAGTTTTAATAAATGGTAGGTATCGGTGTGGTAACAGTTACTTTTTAAGAACCACATAAAATAGGCTTACCCAATAAAGTAGCAATATTAGTACCAGTGTGTACCTACTCCAGGAACTAAGGCTTCATAGCAATACCGAAACCAAAAGAAGTTGTTACTAAGTGTGTTACTGGGGATAATTCACTCCTTGTTTTTACATTGTTTCCACAGCTAGAATCATGTCAAATTTATTGTCCAACGAACTTCTAAGTAAATCGTTGGTTTTAATGTTTAAGCCTCTTCAATTCATGTATGTAAAAAAAAAATATTAAGAAAAGTAAATAAATATAAAGGGTAATTACTGTGAAGTAAATCGTAAAATGTTCATCGCATAATAGCTATAGCCACTTATCCATTAATCAAATTATAGATTTTGGTAAAAGCAAAGTTTACAAAATCCTAACGTCACTTTGAAAATCATCTTTATACAGCCTATTAAATTATTTATCTAAAGATTAATCAATCATTTGTTTATTTCCTTTAATAGCTAATAAAACATTTGTATGTTAACAGTGTTATAATTTCATCCAATCTCAACAAATTAAAAGCCATCCATCATTAACATAGTATCATTAGTCTTGTTTAAGTATAACGGATATTATCATAGTCTTGTCCTTATTTTTTCTTCGTTTCGAATTTAACCTCTCGTGTAGAACGTCGCAAAGATCGATTCCTGCTGGGCGTTGCGTGTACTTCGGGAATTCTAAGATTCGTTGATGAACTTTGGGGGTTGAAGGGTGATTTAGCAGGAAATTGTTTAGCCACGAGGGGCACCCAGTTTTGTGTATCAAATCTCCCTAATGAACCTATCAAAACATACAAAGGATATTTTGTGTTAGGTATTATTTGTATACCTTGAATCACAATAGCTAGGTTGTATCTATGAATATTTTAAAAGGGGTAATTTTTTGAGGGAAACGCAAAAACAAGACGATTTTTATGTTAAGTGGGACACTTTGCTATCTTATTCTCAACTGAAACACGTTACCTTTCCTCTGTATCTTTATAATCAAGACAATTTAAATGGGGAAATAGGAAAAGAACCAAATATGACCTATAAACTGTGTAAACTGTGAAATTTCATTTGAAAATTAATTTTATTATTAATTTAATAGACCTGTTTTCGCGTTTGTTTTTTTCCAAAAAAATCACTTTAAACATATTCTTACATACAGCCGCTAAGAAGCTTTTAATCATTAAAAGTTTGATCCAATTTACAATTTGTTGTTTCCATTGAAGAAAATCAAGTTTGGATTAAAACAAAAGGTCAAGGGTCCATGTGAAATAATGCACCCATTAAGGTGACTTTTTTATCATTTTGGTTGGTTGGCATTCTAAGAAAATAAAAAATTACGTTATAGGAACCAAAAGAGGTTAACGGCCCTGTGCACGTAACTTAGATCACCAAAGAAAAATTTTATTTCGTGCAAAAATTGTTTATTAAAAAAAATGCAAAGCGCTTTCAGCATAACGCCATCTTTAGTATTTATTGTCAGTCAAAAATACTTCCAATACAATTAATCGTCATCGTGTATCCAATCATTAAATGTTGGAGGGTCCCGCCTTATTTGTTTAAAGGTACCACCCTGTACATTATTATTAGTAGGTTAAGTTATAATCTTAGATAAAAGAGACCAGAGATATAACATACACCTGTGTTTAACCTGCGCAAATGTTGCCAATTTCTAAAGAAAGGTTAACGGAGTGCAGGAACTGGGCGGAGACCCGAACTCTGTGAGAGGGACGAACTTTGTTTATTAGCATCATAATGAACTATTAGATTAACTTAGAAGCTGTTTAATATCAAATAGATGCTACGACATTTTATGTAAAGAGAATACCTTTTATAAAATATTTCGTTAGCGTTTATTTACTAAGGACTTTTCTGCAAGAGGCTACAGTAAACTGTTGAAATAGAATATTGTTTATAATACTCATTGTCTACAAGTATTATAAAAACAGCATGTTCGCAGGCAAATACTGCAAATCAAACCTTGTGAGATGAACATTATATTTTTTCTACGACTATTACATAATAATAAAAATTAGTCAAAATAAGAAAATGCTGTTTTGTATTGAGACCTCAGAAAAAGGTATATTAAAGCTTCTTTCTTTAGGAATATTAATTAATATAGAGAATAAGTCACATAAAACTCTAGAAATGCATGTCTGAAACCAGATAACATTTTAAAATTTAAACCTATTAAAAATCATTTGGTTGCTAGGGGTGGGTGATTATCGAAATAAATTATCGATCATTGAAAATTATCATTTTTTTTTTCGGATTTCTTTTAAAATCGACTACTTGATTATCTTTGAACAATCAAAAATAATCGATTAATTAGAAAGTCAATTAACCGATAAATCAGTGTTGAAAAAAAAAACAATAAACGAATTATCGTTTATTTTAAATAAATGATTATTTTCAAATAATCTATTTTTTTTTCGTATTTCCATTGAAACAGATTATTCGATAATCTTTGAAATATCAAAAATAATCGCTTAACCGAAAATAATCGATTAATCGGAAATAACCAATTAATTAAGAAGCCGATTCTACGATAAATCGATTTAAAAAAAAAAAACCGAATTATCAATTATTTTTAAATAATCCTTTTCTTTTCGTATTTCATGTAAAATTGATTATTTGATTATCTTTGAAGAATCGAAAATAATTGATTAAGCTGATTAACCGATAAATCGATAATTCTAAAAAATTAATCGAAATATCGATTGTATTCAATCAAGCGATTATTTTTATATAATCTATTGTTTTCGGATTTCCATTCGAATACCCTTGAAAAATCGAAATGAATCGATTAATCGAAAATATTCGGTTAATTAAAACAATCGATTAATTAAAAAAGCCGATTAAACGATTAATCGATTATTTTCAACCAATCGATTATTTTAAATAAATCTACTTTCTTTTTGTATTTTCTTTAAAATCGATTATTCCATTATCTTAAGAAACGAAAATAATTTTTTGAAAATGCTCGATTAATCGAAAATAATCGATTATTTATAACGAATTAATCGATTTTTATAAAAAAAATAACAGAATAATCGATAAATTGATTATTTTTGTAACCCCTATCGGTCGCTTGCTTTTATTCGAGCATTTAGCTCCAAAATTTAGAGTTCCGGATTTTTTGATCCCACATTCGATTGTGCTAGAATTTAGATTTTTTTAGTAAACGAAGATTTTTTTCTAGTTGTTTAGGGGTTTATAATGTAACATTTTATTAACAACGTTAGTATTTTTTTTGCTTATACTAGATCATTTGTTTTAAAACTTAAAATTCAAATGCCACTTCCGATTTGACCGCAAATAAGATGTACCTTGAAATTTTAAGTAGGTCATCTTGTATTTTATCTAATATACTTATAAAAATGCCTTATAAAAATAAAATTTCGTTAGCAACAATGCCAATTTATTTCTTATTTAAATTAAATGTTCACAATTTTTCCCTTTTGTAAATTTATGTAAGTATTATGAAATCTGTTTTCTAAAATATTTTTTTGATGCTTAATAATTATTAAAACTTCTTAATGCCGATCTAAAGTATTCAGCCCAAAAAGGATCATGACGGCTTTATGTAACGTTAATAAATATTTACCGCTGAAAACTAATATACTTCTGATTTTTCATAAAATTGGCACTTATATTATTTATACATACAATTTTTCACGATACAGCGTGGCATTTTCAATTTGAAATTGAATAACTAAAACACTTTAAATTGCTATTAGCACCAACAAATAATTCAAAAAACGGCAGTCCATGATGAATCAACTTACGCGGAGATGAGCGTAGAATAGAAATCTCGGAGCAATTCGGATGGTGTCGTACAATGTTTTTTAATTGGTGGGTTACTTAAGATTGGAATAGACAACATGCGCTATGTGCAATGTTACATACTCGGTCTCTAATCTAAGGTTATAATATAAGTTATTAATACGTAGATGTAAAAATAGCAATGTTTTGCCTTTCAGCTAGTTTTAATTTATATTTTTATGTATAATTATACAATTTGATAACATGTAAACTTTGAATTACAGACCATTTAACCCTCTACCTACGAATGTTATATAAACACAACTTGCCACACAGGTCTCACGTTTTAACACTTAGGAATTTTAGGTAGGTTACTTAATCAAGGCCTATCACCCTGAAAAGGAGGAGAACTCCTATAGCAGGATGTTAGGAAAATAAAACGTCTTAGAAAACTGTAAAATTAAACTTAAGATGAGTAAATATTAAAATAAAAAATAGCTATTTGTGTATTAAGAGCGAACATTGATACTTTGCCGTTTGAAACAGAAAGTTGCAATCTTTTCGCACACACAAGATTTTTTCTACGATCACATTATTTTAAGAAATAGATATAAAAATTGAAAATTTGTTGTTAGTAGTGTATAATAATTATTCTATATCTACGTTAATCATGCAAAAAGGAGTTAATATTCAATGTTAACTTGGGTGTTAAAACAAAATACATGTAATTACGTACAAATAACTTGAAAATAATTTTTTTAAATAATTATTATTTTATTGTACCCAATTTAAATTAGGCGAGCAACAAAGCGGAAAAAGAAAACTTTGCGGTTGAAATTTGAAGCGCAAAAGCCTAGTGATCGTAGAAAAAAATACAGTGCAACCTCTTTAATCCAAACACCTAATTGTCAGACCTTGTTCGGATTATCGAATTGTTCGGATTAACGAATATACAATAAAACACCTCTTACACATTTTTAGACCTTTAGATCTATGTATGTATATTGTTTTTTGTACATTTAAATGCATTATCAAACTACATATGGGCGACGCGGGCCGCGCTGCAGGTCTTCTCCTGTCAGCGTTCAGATTACAGAGGCGGCGTTCGGACTATCTCGCATCACGATTTGCGTTCGGATTAGCGTAATTCGGATTAGCGTGGGTTCGGATTATCGAGGTTGCACTGTATGTTATATGAGTATATTACAAGTTGTCAGCCTATTTATACAAGCCATTTTAAATTTACATTTTCCCCAGTTTTGGGATGGCTAAAGTGACAGCGAGTGACACCTGTTGACATGAATACCGAAAGAGCTTTGAATTTTTTAAACAAGCAATTGTCATGTAAAATACAAATTTTCTTTGCTGAAAAAATTACCCGTTTTCTTTTATCTTTAAAAATCCTACATTGAAGGTATTTACACGCCAAAACATGTTTCCAATTTTAATTTCTAAAGTATATATGTAATTTATCTATTACCAAATCAGAATATTTAACGATGTAAGTGGCGCAGTCAGATAAGACTGAAGCTAGTAGAGAAACCACGCGGCGGTCTCTTAAAGTTTCGATATTCTTCAGAAAAATCTTTAGTTTATATTGGCTTTAGGGTCGATATTTTTACCTCTGAGTAAAGTTACATATGACAGATTAACAAACAATCGCTCTATAGTTTAAACAGCAAGTAGTTACTTTCAACTTTACTCAGAAGTGAAAAAATTGGCCCTTAGTATCATAAAAGTGTACAAATAAATAAAAATTAGTTTATTTATTGAAAAATAAAAATGGAATTATTTAAAAGAAAATAGTTTTATAGAAAATGGTAAAACAAATGATACTAAATATAATTTCTATACCAAGGATTCATTATGTTCTTGTTAACTGATAAAATTACACATGACAAAGCAGAGATTCAAAATATATTTTTTTTCCTTTTAAATACAAACTTCTTGTGGTCAAATGACTATGATGTCAAAGGGCCAAAAAAATCACATTTAGCACGACAATACAAAACCATTTTTTGCAATAAATAGACAAATTTTTATTTTTTGAAAATTTTCATGTTACTAAAACCGCGCGGATTGTCTGCTTACTTTACCCTCATCGTGCTCGGCTATTGTTTGTAGAAATGATTATAATAATACTTACGATTACAATTTTTACTATTAGACAACTTGTACGCTTGGGATCGTACCAAGCCCGTGGTACCAGTATTAACGGCATCCATGGACAAGCTGTGATTATGGGTTCTAGCCCATATTCGATTTTTTTCGCCTCTTTTTACTTGTAATCCACTCAGATGTTCATTCAACGCATACAATTTCTGTGTTATATCTTTACCTAAATAGAAAGAGATACAAATTATACCTTATAGACTCAAGGTGTAATTCATAAGCAAAGAGAATCAAGTGATTTTTAAGTTTTGATTACTTACGAGCCCAGAATCATATCATTTGGCCCATTCAATATTATATTTTTTATTTTACTTTAGACAAAATTGGTAAATACAAAACAAAAATCTATTAAATCGAACTATTTTTATTATAATTTGAGACATGTTTATCAACATTTTTTATTAAAATTAATATTAGAAAATTAGAGATATGCATAGTTGTCTAAAATAAAATTAAAAATATAACATTCAATAGACCAAATGATATGATTCTGGGCTCCTATGTACTTAAAATGAATTTGAACATATACTAATTAAAAATATATTTGGTGGTATACCACAAGGATCAGCATTGGGTCCTTTATGGTTATTAGTTTTTTTGTAAGGAACGCATGATTTTTACCGTAATATTGTGGTTTTTACGTGTGTTTGAACATACTTTTTTTAGTCTACCGTGACTTGCATACTATTTTTTGAAATTTGAAATAGTTGTAGTAAGTATTGGCCCAAATATAGACGTCAACTAAAAAAATAGATTTTATTTATCCTGGACGTCAATTTTAGGGGGGTTAAATTAGAATATTTTTGATGTCATCGTATGGGATATCATATAAACCTCTTTGAAACAATATTTTAATCCATTTAAATACTCTTTGGCAATTGGAAAAGTGAAGCCTTAAAAGCCCAAACAAGGCAGATCGGGACTTAAAGGTTTGGTCGAAAATAGCTCGCATTACATTGCCCCCTCCTTAAGAAAGAGTTCCTCTTAAAACTCTTACGAAACCAAAACGGAATGGTTGTATCTGCAACAGAACCCTCTTCTACGAGTACAATTTCCAGTTGCATGGAAGTAAAAGGGACTATTTTCGCGGTAACCTGGACACCGGTCGAAAATATATTTTATGAAAAAATATAACATAAAAATGAGATAAAATATTAGTAAGTGAATTGATTCACGTTTTATTTTTTATTGGGCTATATTTTAGATACGTAATTAAAATGGAATAAAGAAAATAATATTCAATTTCGAAAAAGAAAGGAAATGTATAAATATTTAATTTGATAATTACAGCATTTCAACTAAGAGTGTTTAATAAATAATTTTTTGAAATACTACCTATTTCTATAATGTTCGACTATTTCAGTTTATTCATATTATAAAATTTGATTTGTATAAGGTTATATAAGGTATAAGGTTTTCCAAAAAAGTTGGTATTGTTTCTTAGAGATTCAAAGCGTAACTTTTAATATTAATTTTTTTTTGTTAGAGTATTGTTACTAGTCATTACTGACTAACCTACAATTTTAATCTAAAAATCTTACAAACTAAGTACTAATCTAAGAAGTCCCCATTGGGCTGTCTTAATTGTTTCTACAGGAAAGCATAACAAGTTGGCGTGAAGATTTATTACACTGTTTTACACTAGCACTAACATTAACGTTCACTGTACTAGCTCAAATGGCTTCTTCCTTTTGAGCCTTCTGTTGAGTGTGGAGTTGTCCAGTAATTGCAACGCTTCTTCGTTGACGTGGGAGTGGAGTCGACTCTCATGTTTCGCAGAAAACCTCTTTATTTCTTCTTCGATTGTTGGCATCTTCAGGTCTCTATGAAGATAATCGTTTCGGTAGAACCAAGGTCCATCAACAATGCATCTTAGGACTTTATTTTGGAAAACTTGTATCATGTTGATATTACTCTTGCTGGCACATCCCCATAGCTGTATGTCATAAATCCAGATTGGTTTTAGGATTTGTTTATAAATCAGCAGTTTGTTGTGCACTGACAATTTGGATTTTCTTCCTAGGAGCCAATACATTTTTTTGAATTTAAGTTCAAGTTCTTTACGCTTTTTTTTTTATGTGCTTTTTTCATTTAAGTCTTACATCTAGGTTCATCCCTAGGTATTTGGCCGAATCGTGATGCGGAATAACGTCATTGTTTATTCTTATTTGTTTTTGTTCATTTGGTCGAAGAGTAAAATCAACATGCACTGATTTAGTTTGATTTATTTTTATTTTCCACTTTTTTGTACATCGATTGATTCTGTTGCAGGTTTCCTGAAGTTTTTCTGAGGTCTCTGTATTAGTTCCGCCAACTGCCAATATTGCAGTGTCATCCGCTTGCTATTTTAACAGATTGTTGTTGAGGAATATCGCTGGTGTATAATAAGTAAAGAATCGGTCCTAGCACACTGCCTTGTGAGACTCCTGCTTTAATATCTTTATTTTGGGGTATGCCTCGTCTCGTTTTACTCTAAACATTCTTCCCGTTAAACATGATTGTAGAATGCCGACATATTGTCTAGGAAGCATTTTTTCAAGTTTCTGTATTAGGCCAGCGTGCCAAACCTTGTCAAATGCTTGGGCTACGTCAAGAAATATAGCTTAGCATATATATTTTTCTTCGTAAGCTTTTTCGATGATATTGGCTATCATGTGTACTTGATCTATTGTCGAGTGTTTGTTTCTAAAACCAAATTGGTGCGAAGGAATCAGATTTTTATTTTCATTTATTGGTTTTAGTCGTTTTAGTAGTAGCTTTTCAAATAACAGATATTATCGGTAACAATGATATAGGTCTATATGACGACACTTCATTCAGAGGTTTTCCTGGCTTAGGAATTAGGATAAGTTCAGCCATTTTCCACGCATCAGGTATATATTTAAGGCGAAATGCTGCATTTATGAGGTATGTCAATTTAACAATAGCCTTCCGTGGTAGTTTGTTTAATATTTCTCCAGTAATAAGGTCATATCCTGGGGCTTTCTGTGAGTTGATGTTTATCTGAATTTATTTCGTAACTTCATTGGGAGTAACTAGCTTAATTTCAAGTTGTTCCATATTATGGATGGTCTCATTAGGAGTGTCTTGATTTTCATCTAATTGGAACGTCTTTTGTAGGTGGTCAGCGAAAATATCAGCTTTTTGTTGATTGTCTCTTGCCCATTTGTTATCTGCTATTCTGATAGGTCAGTGTTTACACGAATTTTTCATCTTTTTAGTTGCCTTCCAGAGTGAATAATCAGTTTCTTTATCATCTGTTAGCCCTACTAAGTATCTGTTGAAGGATTCTTCTTTGTGATTTAGAATTTCTCTTCTCAGTCTTTGGGTAGCCCTATTTAATATATTTTTATCTTCTGGTCGTCTTGTCATCTACCATTTCTTTCTTAGTTTTCTTTTTTCTGCTACTAATTTTCTAATCTCGGCAGGATAGTTTTTTCCAGCTGTTAATCTTCTTACTTTTGGTGTGTTCCTCCATGCAGCTTGCTTGATTTCAACTATAAACCTTTCCAGTTCTTCATCTAGCGGATTTTTCGTTTTTAGTGTTATGGTCAGTTGAATAGTATTTGTTAAGTCCTCTTCAAAACCTTCCCAATTAGTTTTCCGATTTGCTAGGGTCGGTTTGGCTTTTCTTTGAATAACATTATCACTTAGAGTAAGGATTACTGCAGAATGGTCTAAATCCATATCAAAGTTTTCTTCTATTTGTGTATAGTTTGGTGAAATTTTCCTAAGAATAAAGAAATCCAAAAGGTCTGGAATCTTATTTGGGTCAGTGGGACAATAGGTGGGTTTTTCCGAAGATTGGTATGTACAACCAAGTTCTGATGCAGCTCGGTGCAATTCTTTTCCTTTGACTCTGGTTAATCTTGAACCCCAGTTTGTGTGTTTGGAGTTGTAATCTCCACCGATTATAAATTTGTTATCTAGTTTTTTGAGTACATTGAGATAATTTTCTTTTTTTTAATATTAATAAATCAGTAAAATAACAGCCTTTAGAAGTTAAAGGAATAAAACATTCGACCGAAAATCATTTGCCAAAAAGAAACTGTGCTTTCCTTTTTCAAGACAAATTTAACAAAGGTCCAAATTAAAAAACATTAAAACTACACGCTCAACAAACATTTGATAATTTCTTTGGTTGAAAAGTAAAAAAAAATTACCAACAAAAACTAATCAAATCTTATAGTAATATTTACCTATAATAGAATCCAAAACCAATTTGAGCATCGGTCGATGTCTCAAAACCCGCTCTAGCTTCATCCTCGGCCAACAAAGGTAAACGCTATCCTCTTCCGCCGTGATTGTCACCTGGAAAACATCGTCTGATTGTTCGTGATTGGCTTCCCATTCCGGAGAATCCACAAACTGATGCATATTTATGAAATGCAAATGAGTATCGTCACAAGTCACCCTTAACCTGAAAACCAAGTTATAAATCAGTTTGAACTTCTTCGATTAAATTCCTGTGAAGGAGTCGAAGAGAAAGTGAGAAATTGGATTTTAAAACTTTGTAAAAGGAAAATAGTCGAAGAGCCAGTGACAAAAAATTTTAACAAGTTTCAAATTTTTATTATTTATAGTTTTTACGTTAATAAATATGCTAGTCAGACCTCAATATAATAGGACTTGAACTGTTAGCATAATTTACTTTAGGATAAACTAGTTTTTTTAAACAACTTTAAAGGAATCTATAAAACAAAGCAATAAGATCAATTTATCCTGCAGTCCTATTAGCAAAAAAATAACTAATAAAATAATTATTCAATTTTATGCCTTTACTAAAACATAAATAAAACCTGTTTCTCCTAAAAAAGTTACTTGGGTATTCGTATATATAGTACTTATCGATAATTTTACTTGATTCATTGCCTTTTTATTATAAATAATATTCTTATTATTTTTTTTTATTAATTTATTAACGTCGGCTTATTTATAACTACGAAGTTTAAATAACGATGCTGGTGAACTCGCTACCTCCCCAATTACCAGAAATTTAGCCGAATCCTCTGGTGTTCTAAACAGAGGTAGGAATCTTTACGAGACCCACATCCATGGTGTCGGGACAGGCGGCTTTACATCTCCTACAAAGATACTATACCTCGTACTCATTGATATATAATATTTATCAAATAGGAAATTCAGGACTCATTATTTTAAAATTCATTTCTTTCTTGCAAAAACAAAGACTTTTTAAAGGACTAAAAGAAAGCAAAAGCTCAAAAATAGAAAGCTTACTTCAAAAACCTGATTATTCCTGAACATTTCAAGTTGATATTGTTTTTCTGTTTTGATATATGATTTTTTTTTAGTTTTAACCCCCCTTAATCCCCCATTTTTTATCAGATTTTTTAAAAAATCAATAGGCTTCGTCCCATTGCAGAGCTGGATTTTTCCTGAAAATTTTAAGTTGATATATTTTTTTTTGTGTCATCGGCATCAACTGCTAACGGTTATTAGCCCCGTGTTCTGTGTAGGCTTTGTTACTGTTTCCCAGCCCAACTTTAGGAACAGCACTGTTAATTAGTACCCAACAGTGAATGGTCGAGTGGGGAATCCTACCAAGGCATCAGAATTAATTTTAAATAAAAAAATCCCATTTGATATTGTTTTTCGTTTTTGATTTATGAATTTTTTTAAATTTTAACCCCCCTTAAACCCCCATCTTTAATCAGATTTTTTTAAAAATCAGAGGCTTCGTCCCATTGTAGAGCTTGATTTTCCTGAAAATTTCAACTTGATATTGTTTTTCGTTTTTTTCATGATTTTTTTTTTAATTTCAATCCCCCCTTAACCCCTCCATTTTTATTCAGATTTTTTTCAAAATCAATAGGCTTTATATCCTTATAGAAATTAATTTATCCTGAAATATCATTTTTTCGTTTGTGACTTATCGTGCGAACAAAAATTGTGATATCGGACTGACGGACGGACATTTTTAAAAGTACATAGCGCCTACTGATAGAGCCATAACCACATACAAATTTGAAATAAACTTTCAAGTTCAAATACCAATCCAAGTATCCTGGATACAGGTACCTCCCGTACAGGCTGAATTCGTCTGCTACATAGACGGTTCCAAAAACCAAGGAAGGAGCCGGTGTTAGAATCTATGGACCCAAGTCGAAAACAAGGATTTCGCTGAGTTTAGGAAAATATGCAACAGTGTTCCAGGCTGAACTAATCGCCATACAACACTGTGCAAGAGAAATACTAAATATACTTGCTGAAAAAGTATTGCCATATACTCTGACAGCCAAGCAGCTCTAAAGGAAATTCTCCCACCAGAAATCAAATTACGACTGGTGAAAGACTTCCTAGAAGATCTGGCAGAGCTAAGTAGTCAAAACAAGGTGACCCTAGCCTGGGTTCCAGGCCATGAGGGATATTAGAGCAGCGAAAAGGCCGACGAATTAGCCCGAGAAGGCTCAGATAAAGCCCCAATCCCTTTTGTGGAGTTGCTAAGGCATTGTGCAAGGCATCCATCAAACAATGGATGCAAAAGGAGTCTCAGAAATAGTGGAACATCTATCCAAGACTGAGACAGGCTAAAAGTTCATCAAGGAACCATCGGCCAAGTTCACGAAAGACCTACTGGATCAAAAGCATCAAATCGTTAAATCGTTAGGATAACAGTATGCCTTCTTACTGGATACTGTCGCCTTAGAAGGCACATGAATGTCATCAGTCCAACAGAAGAAATAACTTTGTGCAGGTTCTATGAAGAAGAAGAGGAAACATCATTCCACGTTCTGTGCCAATATGAAGGCCTGGCTAGAATGCGGTTTCTAATAATGGGTGAATAAAAGCCAAACGCATGCAACTACATGCAAGAGTCACTGTCAAAGCTTCTAAGTCTAATAAAAAAGTCCAAGCTAGACCACATACTCTAAAACAGGGCAGCATAACATACGGCCCGCCAGTGTCGTTTTGGCGGCCCGCCGGTGTCGTTTTGGCGGCCCGCCGGTGTCGTTTTGGCGGCCCGCCGGCCGTTGACCAATTTGGCCCACCTACGTCAAATTATACATTTTTCAGTAACAAACTTAATTTAGGCTGACGACCTTTTTTGCAGCTGTTGATTTATAAATGAAAGGTGTCGACCTATTTTTTTAGAAATCTGAACCGGCTATTGTAGGCTCAGGCCTCTCTTGGCGGCTTTCGTACACTTACGGTTTTTCAAATCTGGCCGTTTGAAAATCTGAGTTGTGCAGGCCTGCTCTAAAACTAACGGAGTCCCACAATAGATATGAAAAGGTCGCGGTGGACAAGGACAAACAACGTCCAACTTCTTGTTAATCTAATCTAATATTAAGACCAAAGTCGTGGTAAAATGTCAAAACATATTAGAACATACATAATTTAATATCAATAAGGGAAAATAGCTCGTAAAGTGTATTGTTCAGTTTCCAATAAAATTCGAACAACACGTTTAAGGAAAAAAAGTTACTCTGTATTTTTATCTTTTATTCGCTTTCAGAAGATATCGACTTCGTCGATAACTATATTTTATGAGAAAAATATTCCTAACAAGTTTTAAATTGAATAACTTCGAATGAAAATACTCTTCAACAACTTTTAGTGTCTATTCAAGCCTAGTATAAAGTAATTGTCAATTACACGAGCGAACAATTTTTAACAACTTCCACGCAGTAGGTAATATGTTTAAATAATGTTTATTGATCAACTACAAATACATCGGTATTATTACTGACAATGGCCTATAAGCCGAAAGTGGTTTGCTTAAATTAAAAAAAAATTTAACGAATTATAAGTTTTTCATCGCTTATCTAACATTTTTAATATGTTTCAAATTCTCACCTTCCTTTGAGCAAAATTGATAGTCTTTCGTCCGCCGGACTGACATCTTCTACTGCATAAATGTCACCTTCCTCTAGATTCATTACTTTGGCTTCTCTGACTAATTCCGTATAGTGCTTTTTACTCACTTTAAGGGGTTTAAAAACCTAAAAAATATACCTTTATATATTATAATTATTTTAAACAAAATTCAATTTTAAACAAAGTTTATCGTTGGAACAAAAAAGATTAATTTACTGCCACTCCAATTGCAGCGGTTAAGTGAAAACTAATAAAAAAAGCTAAAGATGTGTCAACAAATGTAATAAAAAAATCAATTTTACATATCTGACTACATCCTAATTAATCATAATGGTGATACGAAATATATAGGAAGATATGTCTTTATATATGATCAAAGAACTTAAAAATAAGGTTACACGATCAGCTAATGATGATGAAGAATTTAATCTAATCTTAGCAAGAAAAGGAAGTTCATAAAATAAATTAATTGAATTAAACTTTGATTAAATAACACTTTTACTACAGTTTTATTTAACTATATATTTATTTGGGCAAGTTTTATTGTACTAGTCTCATATTATTTAGCATTTTGCTTTATGACTGGTACAATACATCTTTGTAAGTATTTTAAGGATAACACAGGTCTACAAAGAAAAAACTGCATAGGATCTTTTCACTCTTTCTTATAGATGTCAACTTACTTAAACTGGGAAAAATACTAAACAAATCCTATCGTATCAAATTTTTTGTGAAACTTATTTATTAAGTTTTATTCTTGTCACGCGCATACACAAAGCAAACTGCACCACTGCACTAAGCTTATCGCGCTTTGCTAGAAAATAGTGGAGGAAGAAAAATGGAAGGGAATGGGTAAAGCAACGACGAAAAACTACTAGACTAATCCATTCACTCATAATTAAGCCCATTTTGTTTCGTAATCATTCAGATTGTGTTTATTATTACGCAGACAGAGTGGGGATGGTTTGTGCGAGTCTGTTTATCTTAGGAGCGAACACGCGTTTTATTAATGAATCAGTATTTACGTCTACTACCGAGACAAAACCTGGGCTCCTAATAAGGTTTGGAGAAAATACGAGGAAGATCTTCGTTTGCAGTATAATGGCAAGAACAAATCATTTCGTTTTGGCATTCTCATGATATGATGTGAACAGAGAAACCACACTGATGACTGTTATTTCTGTTCAAATGACATTATCCTGAGCTAGTCGGAAGACGAAGACACATTATCTCGCCAGGACGAATGTAGCTCAGATTTTTCAATTGATGAGGGACTTCAGAGTGATCTCAAAGTGAGCCTAATTGCTAGGATCGAGGATAAAAAACAAAACGCTTTTTTATCACCGGGTACTTCATTTTCATGGTATAGGCATCGAGCTAAAGAATTTACTCAGTTTTTTCTCCAGAGACAGAAATTCTGTTTTTAGTTGTGACGTTCAAGGGCTCATAAAGTACTCAGAATATGACTCATCAGAGTGGCGCCTTTTCATTTATTCGTCGAAGGCTAGCCTTAAAGCAGTTTTGCTGCATAATGGAAATTCATTAGCATCTCTTCCTCTGGCACACTCGGTTATATTATGAAATAAAAGTATGGAAATTTGCTACCATTCTCGAAAAACTCAAATATCAAGAACATCAATGGATGGTTTGTGAAGTTTTTAAAATACTAACCATATTGTTGAGCCAGCAACCAGGATATACAAAATATCCCTGCTTTCTATGCTTGTGAGATAATAGAGCCAGATATTGGTCAAAAACTGGCCCGCTACCGTGAGATCTCTTAGTCTCAAGCGAAAAAAGCGTCTTCAATACGACCTTGGTTCCATCAGAAAAGTGTTGTTCCACCTCTTCATATTGATTTGGGACTTATGAAGCAGTTTATCAAATCACTACTAAAAGATGGGGAATGTTTTAGATATCTGTGTTCAAAATTCCCGAAATTGTCTGAAGCCAAGTTGAAAGACGGAGTTTCTACTGGCCCCAACATACGTAAACTTTGAAATTATCCCCTTTTTATGGAATCAATGGGTGAAACTAAAAAAAAAGCTTGTAGCTCTCTCAAGAATGTAGTGCATTAGTTTTTGGGAAATACTTTTACTACAAAACGGATGATGGCAGGGTATAAAGCTCATATCGATTATTTTTCCAAACACTTTGGAACCTACAATGAAGAGCAGGGTGGAAGATTTCACCAGGATGTTTATGATATTGAGAGACGCTACCAAAGAACATGGAACGTCAATATACTAACTAACTACTGCTCGATGCTCAAGCAAGAAACCAAGGCCGAAAAATGAAAACGAGCTCGAATAAGCATGAAAGAGAAGAAGAAAAGGGTTCATTAGGAAATAATATTTTTAGTTACTAGTATTAAATACACACATCTCCAAAAGTCTTGGCTCCCCTTGGTAACTTTTACCGTGGTCAATGTAAGGTGACTATTTTTTGTGCATACATTCTTCATTATCATATCATACATAAACAAAACAGGTTTTAAAGAAAAAACTGTTTTCGTCCGAAAATATGCACCATTTGAAAAGAAATGAGTTCTGAACTGACATCGAGTATTAAATTATCAAGTACATTTGTCATAAAATGCCAGGTCATCCGATTTCTCAGTTCGTCCGGGCAAGAATAGTAGCCTTACATCAAGAGAATTTGTCAAATCACCAGATTGTGGGCCATCTGAATATTTCACGGACTTCTGTAGGGCGCATAGTGGGCTTTTTCCGGGAAACGGGCAGTATTGTGCGAAGGACGGTGACTGGTCGATATCAGAGAGGGAATACAAGTATATGGATAATTTTAGCCGAGGGAACCGAAATATAACAGTAACAGCCTTTCGAAGTAATTTTTTGCGAAAGTACCGGAGGGTAGTTTCGAGAAGTACCATAAGAAAAATATTGCATTCTTCAAATCTAAGGGCAAGAAGATCTATAAGAGTGCCTAGGCTCTTACCCTACACAGAGCTGCACGTCGCCAATGGAACTAGCATTTTACCACAATGGCACAACGTTTTTTTTTCTCGAACGAGTCAGGATTTAACCTACAGAGTGAAAGCCAGCGGGATAGGGTCTGGAGGGGTCCAGGCACACAGAGACGACTTATTTTGGCAAGAGGTGTTATTCCCTATCAAGGCGGATCAGTGATGTATAATGGTTGGTCACCGTATCTCACTTACTTTGATTGAGAAAACTATGACAGTTATCATATACGCTGAAAACGTTATTCAACCAATCAGTCAGCCTTTGCGCAACGAATTTCAAAACGCACGCAAAGAGTACAAAACATGCTGCAGGAAGGAAATATCCAAATGATTAACTGGTCGCCAAACTCACCAGATATGAATCCCATTGAACATGTATGGGATTATCTTGGGAGAGTAATATCTAATCGAGAAAACCCCCATTTAATCCTCCAGGACTTGACTGTAGCTGTGCATTATTCGAAAAGTATAGCTATTTTTTCAAAATTCAATTTGATTATTTTTAAAAATACCTTGGGGGCCACGTCTTTTAGAGATGTGTGTATTTAGGTTTATAGTAATAAAATACAGATTTGTTTAATAACTGATTTTTCCCAACCCCCTTACTTTGAAAAAAAATATGTTCATGATAGGAGAAAATAGAAGCCATTTTTGGATTCAGTGCACCTTAAAACATCCAGTTGAGCAAAAATATCACATGAAATTAAAAAAAAAATATATTTTTTGCTGACCTGTGTAATAAACATAATATCGGATATATTTTTTTATTAAATAAGCGCCTATTACAATATTAGATTTTTTTTTCGAGTTTACCGCCGTCTAACTTTGTGTTATTAAAGTTTAAATATCATTAATCACACCGCAGAGTCCGTTTGTCTCTGCTTCAAATTATTTTCTGATTCCTTATCCGACAATTTGCAGTCAAATGAATCTAACAAGAGCACAAATTGTGCAGTTGACAAAGTATCCAATGTACCCCTGTTGTGTTTTGAATTAATATAGTGGAAACAGATTATTTACTAATTGTATACTGGGATTAATGCCAAGTTGTTAAAATTTATGGTGAAATCACTTAAGCAGTGCAGTGAAAGTTCGATCGTTTTAGAAAATGGCCAAGTTGGATTTTCAGGACTATTAAAATTGAATATACAGGAGGTTTCATTTAGAAAGGGAAATTTTATAATTGTGGATAGGGTTTGATTCGGAAGAAACTATTACCAAATCTTATGCAAAATTGTCTGGAGGTTAAAGTCCTTTACTCAATTCATTAGGTTGCCCTGGATTCTGAGGTGTTCAATCATATCAAGAAGCTTTGGAACTCTATCTCATGCTTTAGCAAAATCCAAGTATGTGCAGGAAGATCACCATTTAAGATGTTGCCAAGCCACTGAGAGGCTGCAGGAGAATAGTTAAGCTAGTTCTCATTTTTAAGTAAATCAGTTGCTTTATCGTTTATTATGTACTTCACATCAAATGTGAACTGAATTAAATTTGCATAATTTTCAATCGTTGTTCTGGCGCTAGTCTGTTCATGGCGAAATGGCAAACCAAACTGAACACAATTGAACTGTCAACTGTAAAACTGGCGTCGCTGACGAAGTTGATGTCAACTCTAAAAACAAACATCTAAAAACATGCCCTTTAGAACACATTGATTTTTTTTGCTAATGGAACATTTAAAAGTTGTTTTCCGCAATAACTTAAGTAGACACACTGTATATTATTTTGGCTTATTTTTATTTTAAATTTAAAGCCTTACTAAACTGCTAGCCACTCGAACTTACACATAGAGATTTTTAGGCAAAATTTAAAGTTCAATATTTTCAACAGGAATGCAAATTTTTGAACGCGGCTTGCATATTTTTCGGATTTAGCCGCATGACGTATATTTTTCAAAGGACTACAGGTTTATTATATACAGGGTGATCAATGAAGTCATGCAAAAAATCAAAAAATTTGTATGAGCGAAATTGCCGCAAAAAATTTTTTTGGTCGTTGCAATATGGTTCGTTACTAAGGTAACATCAATATATCTAGACATTTTTGTCAGTTTTTGAATTAAGGCCCTTAGGTCTTGTACACACTACTAAACATAAAATTTGGGTAGCAAAATTTTTAAAATGCTATAACTTGACATTGGATTGACGGTTCTTGATGATTTTTACGGATTTTGAATCCTTATTTCACGTAGATTTTCCATGGTCTAAACATTTTGTTTGAGAGTTGAAATTTACACATTATCCCGGGTCGGTAATAGACAAAAACGTAATAAAAAGAACAAGTTTATTACATTATATTCTACAATATACAAGATTGCTTAACAACGGTTAAAAGTCAATTCTTACAAAATTTCTAATTCTAAACCTAATTTAAAGGTTCCTGCAATCCCTAAAAATACACGGTGTAATGTAATAACAAAGATTAGATATGTATGGACAGAGTGGTAATTGGTAATTTTTAATAAATAAAAAAAAAGCCTGAAAAACATAAATTGTCTGTCCATTAATTTTTGTTTTGAACCCACTGCGTCAAAGATGGGAATTGCAACATTGCAACCTTGCATTTTCGGAGTTTACTTAGTTTATTATTGGCAACGGCGTGTTAAAAGTACGAGGTCATTGAAAGCAACCGCAAATATCAATGGAAAAATGCCAAGTGTCCTATCTTTAAATACCTAATTTTTGGTAATAATTTACTCGAAATTAAGTAGGTATATTAATTAAGAAAAAGAGAAACTAATATTTTGTTGGTCCTCTTGCTCGACATATTACTTCCCGACATCGATTTGGTAGAGTATCCACAAGATAATTTATAAAATCTTGTGGAATATTCTTCAATTCTTCACGAATGGCCTTACTAAGCGTTTCTAAGGTTTCAGGGGGTACATCACGCGATCTTACTTTAAGTTTTAAATAAGACCAAACGTGTTCGAAGACATTAAATTCCGGATACTTTGCAGGCCAGTTCATCTTATTGATGTTCTGTGCTTGCAAAAACTCTGTGATCCTTCGCGCTCTGTGAGGTCGAGCGTTGTCATCCACCAATAGAAATTCTGGACCGTAATTTCGAGCAAAAGGAACAACAATAGGTTCCAAAATTTTCTCCTGATAAACAGTAGCGTTAACGGTTTGGTTGGTAATGAATAGCTCGATTTTACCATTTCCTATGATACCTCCCCACACTGTAACACCTCCGGCACCAAATGCCTCTTGAGGAGCCATATTTTCCTCCAAATATCGCTAATTTGACCCTCTCCAAACTAACATTCGGCCATGAGTCTTTGAGACAACAGAGTTTTTGACAAAGCAAGGACATTAAATAAAAACAACTTGAGGTAAGAATTTACTTTTTACAAAAACTTAAATAATGCCAAACCTTAGAGCGCGTCGTACGCTACGTTTTTGTCTATTATCGACCCAGTATAATGTGTAAATTTCAACTCTCAAATAAAATGCTTAGACGACAGCAAGTCTACGTGAAATAAGGATTCCAAATCCGTAAAAATCATCAAGAACCGTCAATCCAATGTCAAATTATAGCATTTTAAAAATTTTGCTACCCAAATTTTATGTTTAGTAGTGTGTAAAAGGCCTAAGAGCCTTAATTAAAAAAATGACAAAAATATATAGAGATATTGATGTTACCTTAGTAACGAACCCTACTGCAACGACCAAAAAAATTGTTTGCAGAAATTTCACTTTTTTTGCATGACTTCATTGATCACCCCGTATATAATAAACCTATGGTCCTACGATAAATATACTTCATGCAGCTTATTGCGAAAAAAACTAGCTCTTAAAATCTGCAAGCCGCGTTCAAAAATTTGCATTCCTGTTGAAAATATTGAACTTTAAATTTTGCCTAAAACTCTCTATGTGTAAGTTCGAGTGGCAAACAGTTTACTTGTATACAGTAGGTATCTGTATTGTTGTTGATGGTTGCTTCCGTTTATATTATTAAAATGGGTGAAATTAGAAAAGACGGTCTGGGAAACAAAACTGCTATGACTTTACAAACTAACGGCACAAGGCTAATCGGTCTATAGGTTATTTGGGTCAAGTCTATTAGATTTGTGAACATGATAATGAATGACGCAGTTTTCCATATAGGTGGCAAGATGTGATAATTAATGGAGGAGGTCCTTATACGAGAAATAGGATAGCGAAGAGTATCTACATTGTATCATGTTTAAAGAAATGACGAAAAGTGGTGATGTCAGATATTCAAGGATAACGACAGTACAGAAGATGTTATAAAGAAGTTGAACAGATTTAGTGTTATCTTCATTTTTTGTTTTAGGAGAGATGGGTGGACCACTATATATTATATATGTTAGATCTGTTCTAACGTATTTATAGAACTTTATGCTATCAAACAGTTGGAAATATAGTTCTGATCGTTTTTCTTTGCTTCTTACTTCTATAATTACGGGTTGATCATGTTTTTGGTTCGCTTAAACTTTTTCCATAAATGTTTATTAAGTTTATCATATTTTACCAGTTGATTATTTATCCAGGCTCTTAGATTTGTTCTTTGTTCTTCTATTTATTTTGTTTTTAGTATGAACGTTTACACAATTCTTAACAATATTTTGAAAGATATTCTACTTGCAATATGGATCATAATTTTAATGGATGTGTCCAGTCTAGTTGGTCTAGGTCGGTGAACAAAACTCCGTTTGTCTAAACGTGGAAAGCTGACAGTATTCAACTATGCTAAAGTATTTTTAACTTTTTTTACTTTTAAAACGATATTTTGCGACGGAATATCAAATTTTATCTAAATATAACAATATAATTTGATTTTATTATTAAATACTTCATTTTTCAACATTCTACAGAGTTTACATTATCAAAATTAAAAAAATATGTTTGTAACAAAGACCCAATTTGATTAGTAGTGCTTATACAGTCATTTTAAATTGTTTACCCAAAGTTGAGACAAAATATTTGTTTCAAGCGAAGCCGATGTGATACTCTGACGGAATTCAATTTATGTTTCCCAAGGGATAAATTGTAAACTTCGTGGGATTACGTCATTGTAAGGTCAATTAAGTGTAGCTTTATAATTAAACGTTATCTCGGAGGCTCTGCCTACCTTAAGATATAAATCTGTCAATTCCAGAGTTAGTGTAGGAGGCAGAAATTTCCACGTGAGTAAGGCGGTGTGGCCTGCATTTAATATCACAATTATAAGATTCCATAGAAGGATGTCTGGAGCGCAAACTTCTACACCACCCCATATCGTTATGAAAAAATATCCAATTGACAAGAGAGCCCTGCAACAAAAATAACAAAATCAAAAATGCCATGCAATAATAGAAGTTTACAATAAGAGTGTATATGATGAAACACTCGACTACAGTATATTTGTTAATAAAAATAACCTTGAAACAAGCCCATATCTTTTGCGACAGCAACTTTTAACATTACTTAAAAGTATAGGAGCAATCGTGAAATTCGGACGCAATTTTTTTGTCAGAATCTATTATAAATATGCCATTCTTTTATACTCGTATAATATTGTTTGTCTTGACTGACTGATCTATCAACGATCAGCCAAAACTACTTAGTCTAGAAAGTTAAAATTTGGAACATAGGTTTATTTTATGACGTAAGCATCTGTTAAGAAAGGATTTTTGGAAATTTCAACTTTAAGGGGGAGAAATTGGGGAGGGAACGTTGTAAGAAAGTCTTTGTTCTTTGAAGTTAGAAACATGCAAATAAATATTGATGCATTTTAGGGTGTTTAGAATTTTACATTTTAAGGGAAGACAAGGGGAAACAAGGGGAAACAAGGGGAAACAAGGGGAATCAGGGGAAACAAGGGGGAACAAGAGAGGAAGCAAGATCAAGACAAGCGGTTTAAGTTTGTAAGGAAGTATCGATTTTTAAAAGATAAAAATTTGTGAAAGAACTTTTTAAGTTGATTGTCAACATCGTCTTTGGTAAAACTAATGAAAACGTGGAGAAGAGACAATATAATAATCTATCTACCCATTGGGTCCATACTAAGGGTATCTAGGTGCAAACTAGGGGTCTCTAGGTGCAAGGTCACTAATAGCAAAATACGTTTAAGTGATGTAAAAGAGTATTACGATAAGACCATGTATATAGAATTTTCAGTGTTAGGCATTTCAAAAACCGTATTATACGATTTTTTATGGTATATCAAAAACAAGTATGGTGATGCTGCAAAATTGTGCTATACCGATACCGATTCACTAATTCTAGAGTTGTTTGCCAAAAACTTTTACGAATATCTAAAACAACTTAATTTATTTTGAAACTTTTAACTATCCCGAACGTAATAAATATCAATTTCCTAAAACAAAATTTATCTTTGCAACATTTTATTGAACTATTGAATAAAACTTGCTTAGCTATTTAAAAAGACAACTGAAATAAAAAAGCTAAAGGTGTCTCAAGAAATGTAATAAAAAATCAATTTCACGTATCTGATTACATCTGAATTAGTGAAAATGGTGATAATTGACAGTAAAGATTGTAATTCTACTTACATTGAACAAACAAAACAATATTTACACAAAAAAAATATTTCAACTTATAATGAATACTGCCCTAACCAAACACGCCATAGAAAATTTGCACTATTTCCATTTTAAAAATGTAATAATTCTCGAAAATAAAAATCTTTGTTCTGTACATAAATGACTCTACCGCTAGACCACGACGACATTGACTGTCAAAATTCCTAGATTATTTCGGGTCAGATGCTGTTTTAGACTCGTTCTCAAATCTTCATCGGTATATAAGAGAAATGCATTGTTGCATACTTAAGGCCATATCTTCGTCTGCGTGAGTTAAGTTTTCAATGTACGTTATGCGACGTAATCTCAGTATGAAAATTTTGAATTTAATATATCGAACATCGCAATTCGAAAGGTCAGAATTATTTGAAATTAGTAATAAAATAATTTTGAAAATTCAAAAAAAAAAAAATCGCAAAAATCCCCATACAAATTGTTAAGACCATCTCCAATACCCAAAGGTGAAAACAAATACTTGGAGATTTGAAAAAAAGCCTGTCGTTGCTGAGATTCGAACTCGGATGTCTGGCTCGAACTAATACATCAAATTGCTGTTTAATGTTTTTTTTTATTTTTTTTTTTTAACTACTAATTGCATCAGAAGAAATTAATTCGAAACATCCGATATTACCAAGAAACTTTTATTTATTTGTATAAAAAAAATTGAAATTTCTTTCAAAGGCAATTTGACCTGATTATTCTACAAACAAGTCAATATTGGTTTTCCTTAAAATAAAGAAATTATTTTTAAATAAATTAGGCTGGCCTTTGATTTAAAAATAAACGTTTCTAATTAATTAAACCCTATAGAAAACTTATACGCAAAATTATTATTTCGCGTTAGTTTAAAAATAACACTGTTAACCAACTATACTCGAGGTGTTCATTGAATACAAATTCCCTTTAGTGAATATTCCACAATACGCCTGGAAACCCTTTGTGTTCCAACTAGATATCTGTCAGGCGATTTACTATTTGCAGGTAGGTGAATTGACTGGCATAAAATTTGAATAGAAAAACCTCGTCGTCGACTGAGCTGATTGTAATTCAGTATTAAATTTCCAATTTCAGACTTTGATTGGTGAAAAAATAAAAGGATTGTCTACGGCAACACCTTTTCACTAATTTTTAATATTTACTTATACTTATCTTGTTTGTGTTAAATGAAAATTGAATGAACATATTGAAATGAGAATGATTTTTCTTACTGTACCCTTATATACTCTATAATAGTAATCAGTGGTAATTATGAAAGATTCTGATACAAAAAATCGAATATTTAATAGAAACATGACTTTAGGAGTTAAAGCACTATTCCTAGAATATAAAATATATGTTATTATAAATTTTATTATCTATAAGTTGGATTTTCAATTCCTCTTTCTATTTCGTTAATTATTATGATGGCATTTTTCTTGGACAAACGAAATCTTGCATTTTCTCTTGGGTACATGGTTCATTAATATGAAACAATGTCACCACTTATTATTTCGAATATAAAATATACAAAAATTGTGAAACAAAACAACAAAACATTGATCTTAGTTTTAATGCCCAACTTTGACCGTTTAATTTTTCAAGGAGTTTAAATTAAGTTCAGACGTGAACTACATTTGAAATACAGCATCTTTCAATTAAACCCAGTTCATTTACTGAACTCAGTTTAAACTTTGATGGAAAAACTAGCCCTTAGACTCTATTGGTTGAGTAGGAAGAGAATATAATGCACAATTGCTAGTAATAATTAATGATTTCGTTTTTCGAATTGGGTAATTAAATACGGAAAACGTATATAAACAAAAAAGTAAAGTGATCATGTCGATTTAATTATTAATAGCTCGCCTACTACTAAAAAAATGTGAAATTAATTTTACAATAATATTTTCCGTTTAATAGCAAGCAAAAACGTTTACTCAAAGTTTATGCAATCTCTCATAAACGTATTTGAAGTAATTGAAACTTCTCGTCGATTTACGTCTTCTGGCGTCGCTTTACTGTAATTGATATAAAACTGTCTACTTGAAGCGGGTTGTTAGTAGCGCGACGGTAATAAGTTCCTTTACACCCATTTTCCAAGGACGACCTCGTTACAAACGCTAATGTAACTCATGAAAACAATTTGTTTGATGCTAAAAGAGCTCATAATTTCTGCTTCGATAAATTACTTAAGTGAAACGTTAATGGATTCGGAAATTAAGTGTCTGGAATAGGTCAAAAGGTGCCAAATCTTAAAACATTTATTTGTTTGCAGAATATTATAGACCTCGATCCATTTATAGTTTATTCGAAAATGAATATAGCAAAATTATATAAAAATATAGACCTTTGCCATAAAAACTGTGCTTCATGCATTTTTAAATAAATTATAATTACTTTGACAAACCATTAAATCAGGCTAGGGCAACCTTTTTTTGTAAAGTGCCGAATAGAAAGACCACAGGTCAAAACAAAACTTTGAAAAATACAAGTAATGATATTTATAAAAAAAAATATTTATAAAAGCATACCTATCGTTTTAATTACAATAAAATAATTAAAAAATGGAACTAAAGCCATTTAATTTTAGTTCCGAATGAATTTGAAAGCGATAAAAGATAAAGATCTAAGATTTTTTAAATAAATCAGAGCCTTGCTGACGCTAATATTAATAATGCAACTTTAAAAACAATAAAAATAAAAGTTTAAACAATTATAAAAAATAAAATATGATTTTTTTTAAAGACAAACAAATAGTGTACTGAAAACCAATTATAATCACGTTGAAATTTTTACATGCAAATTGAATCGTCTATTCCAAAAAATATAAAATATGCAAAGTAATTTATTTAAAAAATTAAACTTATTTGGTATATTCGGTAAAACTGGAAGTCAGCCATTTGGTTTGAGTATAAGGCTCGATTCGAAATTATGTATAGAATGTGTGCCCAAAATTTTTTCCAAATCGTTTTAGAAATTAAAGAGATAATAACATGGCCCTAGTCTCATTGTCACCTGGACTCCTGTAACTGAGCTAATAAGTCCTGTTGGGTGTGTATACATCGGGTGTTAATGAATACGTGTTACCGATTTTTAGGGCATGTAGAACATGCAAAAATAGAGTGAAAAGTTCATATAAACATGTGCTCTTGGGGCTTTGGTTTCGAAACTAGAGCTCTTTGAAGATGGCGTCTTCAGGTCAATTTTTTTTAAATATCTTCAGAACACCGCCTTTAAAAAATATTAAACTTGGCAGGGTTAGTAAACTTTACATGGCGATTCTCCTGGTGTTAATTAGATTTTTCTAACACGATCATAAGCGTCTCATTTGGGGGAGGGGGGCTACGGATATTTTCAGTATTTTTTTTTCTCTGTCACTTTTTGAGATTTTTGGTATTGAATTAAGAAACTTTAGAGTTTTTTCTAAAAAAAGGTACTCTTGTTTAGAGTCAACCAGATGCACCGTAGAGAAAACTCAAGTTTAATTTGTCCTGTTTTCTTATTTTAGCTGCCGCATTTATTATTAGAAATGAAAGTAGGCTCTGAGAAATCAACAAAACTATAAATTATTTATGGTTAAATATTACAATAAATGTTGGAAATGACGACCACCAACCTCAATACAAGCATTGCATCTTCGAATCATATTTTGGTTAGCCCTTTCCAAAAGACCAGGCATTGTTTGAATCTGCTGTGCTGCAGCTAAAATCCGAGCAATCAATTCCTCTTCTGACTCGACAGGTGTCTCATACACGAGAGTCTTCATATAACCCCACAAAAAATCTAATGGGGTGAGATCCGGAGAGCGGGGTGGCCACGCCACTGGTGCTCCTCGGCCTATCCATCTTTCACCAAATGTTTGGTTGAGGTAACGTCGAACATCGAGCGAATAGTGTGCTGGGGCACCGTCGTGTTGAAGCCACATCTCATGACGAATTTGTACCGGCACGTCATCTAACAAATCCGGCAACACTTGTTGCAAGAATACCAAATAAATAGGACCAGTTAGGCGATTTGGAAGAAGGTAAGGACCAATTAAATATCCATCAATAATACCAGCCCAGACATTGACGCTAAACTTATGTTGAAACTTCGTTGAACGAATAGAGTGAGGATTTTCTTCGGTCCAAACGTGGTTGTTATGTAAATTAATAAAACCTTCTCTGGTAAAGGATGCCTCATCTTTAAACAGTACACGCCTTATCAAATGTTATTCTAATAAACAACGTTGGGTACACCAACGGCAAAAGTTAATTCGTGGTGCAAAATCAGCTGGAGTTAAATGCTGTACCCTTTGTTCATGATAGGGGTAAAGTAGTTGCTCTCGTAAAACTTGCCAAACACTTACGTGATTTACACCCAAGGCACGAGCAATACTTTGAGTGCCAGTGGATGGTTTTTGTGCCACTTTCTGAAGCACTTGTTCTTCAAACCTTATGGTTCGGCGATTTCTCTGAACTCCGCAGTTAATCCTATTGATTCTTAATGTTCCTGTATTCTTCAGTCTCTGTAAAAGTCTTGCAAATACTTTATGAGATGGAGCTGGGCGAGTTGGATATCGTTCTATGTACAAACGGCGAGCAACTCGGCTTATACAATGAGTTTCGCCATAAATTACTAACATGTTACCATAATCACTAACAGTATGTTCATTCATTTTATTCTACACAACAAAAATGTAAATAGATGTAAATGTCAATAATGAAAACTAGAAACAATTTGACAGGTAAATATTCATAAAATTCCACAGTCTACTTTAATTTCTAGTAATTACTATTAATAAATGCAGGAGCTAAAATAAGAAAACAGGACAAATTAACATTCGAGTTTTCTCTAAAACGGTGCATCTGGTTGACTCTAAACAAGAGTATCTTTTTTTTAGAAAAAACTATAAAGTTTCTTAATTCAATACCAAAAATGTCAAAAAGTGACAAAAAAAAAATACTGAAAATATCCGTAGCCCCCCCCCCCCAAATGAGACGCTTCTGATCGTGTTAGAAAAATCTAATTAACACCAGGATAATTGCCATGTAAAGTTTACTAACCCTGCCAAGTTTAATATTTTTTAAAGGCGGTGTTCTGGAGATATTTGAAAAAAATTGACCTGAAGACGCCATCTTCAAAGAACTCTAGCTTCGAAACCAAAGCTCCAAGAGCACATGTTTATATGAACTTTTCACTCTATTTTTGCATGTTCTACATGCCCTAAAAATTTGTAACACGTATTCATTAACACCCTGTATAAATAAATATAAGCCATCACCAACTTTACAAGCGACTTTAATTTATTGCTCTGAAAATATATTTGAAAAATGTAAAACTATCTTTAATTTTTAACTAGGTACGTATTTTTTTAATAAAAATAAATTTAATTTGTACTCACCTAACTAGGAGAACACTTTGTTTAAAATTGCCTGGAACTAAAAAGGCAGCGGCAAAAAAAAAGTTAGCAGTCTGGAAGAGATTATGTTGTGCAGGCGTCCATTCTTTACAACTGCTCCACAAATCGTCTTTAGCCGTAGTGTTTAACGTTTGATAATCATATTCTAATTCAGAATTGTTGGTCAGGTTATGAAAAAAATCGCTTTGGTTCCAATATGACATGTTCGTTTCGGTTGTAAAGGTAAAATTTTGCTTGATGTCGCTAAAATTCGATACAGTTCGATTAAAATCGACGTTCATCTTAACGTCATGACGCGCTTTAAATCTGGGACTTCTAAAATTCGTTTTATAAGGAATGATCTTTGATGAATGAGTCCTTGAAAGAATCACAGTTGTTTCCATTATGGTTCACTGAAAAAATAAAAAAATCTATAAATAACCTACCCACTAAATATTTTTTGTAACGTTTTTTATAGAAACTGTTCTTGCTATATTTAGAAACTTTACTTAAATACCTTATGGAAATTTAAATATTATTATCTATAGTACCTAATATATCCTACAACTCAAGTTTAATGCACGCATCAATACTTGCATTCGCAGGTACATAAATATCTTTTGTACTTCTTTTTAGTTACCCACTTTATCTTTATCTACCAGTATTTTGATTTCTTTAGTGACTGAATCATTCTAAATTTTTTATTAACTTTCGTAGTATTAAATTTAATTCTTGATCTTCATGGACATTGCCTAATATTAGTACTATAAATTAATTAACTAATAAGTAATACTTTCTGTATCTTTTATTTTGTTTCCTGAGTTTAATAGAGCCATTTTGATAATCTGAATGCCTAGCCATTTTTGTATATTCGTAAAGTTCTCCTCTGTTTATTGATCAAGATATTATATGACCAAATAAACTTACGATGTTTGTATAATAGGTTGAAGGAAAATATAAAAATGTGCAGTTTTATTGGTGCACGGCGCCAAGATTACAAATTCATAGCGCTTTAATGGCATCAATTTACATTTCTACATTTCTACATTTCTAATTGAGTTGTCAGAGGCGAAGCGGTTCATAACTAAATAGGTCGCCAATTATAAATATTGTTGCCACCAGATTTTCTAATAAATTACAGGAAACAAATTAAAAGTAGCTTTTTACTTTCTAGTAATAATTTCATTTCATATTGATTTTAAATTTTATTCTAATGCTACGCAAAATTTTAAATAAAGTCATAGAATTCAAGAAGCAAGAAAATCAGTTGTCAATAAATATGTAATATAACAAAAAATTTACGGACAAAAATAAAAATCCGTATTTTTAATTAACTAACTATTCCTTGTGTATGAAATCTCGATATTTCATTGCTCCATTTTTTTAGTTATTTAGTTATATAGCTTATTAGCAACAGTAAACAAGTTCCACGGTATATAATTCTGTAAAAGTTAAATATATTGTTTAATTCTCAGAGACTTGTCAAAAAATGTGCATATTCTTTGTATATATAATTTATTATTAAAAATATACCTAACATACATAAAAGCATTGTAATGAAAGCCATTTCCGACCAATCTGGCCATGCTTTGATCCTTTGGGTCCCTCTGCCTTGTTTGGGCCTTCTTACGACCCCCACTTGTCCTTAAAACCAGAAATATTTGATTAAGGAGATAAACCCCCTTTGTCCAACTATGACGCCGATGTTCACAAATAGGCGGTTTAAATCATTAATTCTGGAATGTACTAGAACACAGTCTGACCATAACCCTTCGAGGAGATGCTTTAAATGTCCTTCAATCTATACCTATAGAAAATACGAATGTCTTTGAACAACTTATAAAGAGAATAAACAAGCAATATGGCCACAAATGCTTAGAGCAGGTGTACCTATTACAGTTAAAGAACCACAAACAGAGAGCCTTGAAGAATACGAATTAGATATTGCGCAGATGGTGCGATTTGGCTAACCATCCGCTCCGGAAACATGCTTGAATATTTAGCTGTTCAAGCATTTGTTGATGGACTTCCTGACCATGAAATGCAAAGAACACTCCGTTTAACTCGTCACAAAACATTGGTCGATGTATTGTCCGCTAGCTCTTGCATATGAACTAAGGACTGTAAAAAAAAACAGGGAAATACATTCGACCAATTGTTTCACATGATAAAAAGCCTTATTGAGAAGCAGCCAAAGACTATTAGATTCTGAAATTGCGGTAAAATGTGAAATGTAGACAGTTCGCGCAAACTCCCAAATAGCACTACGAATCGAAAGACCGTGACAGTGGCTGTACAGGAAGAAAAGGTGGTGCCTGATAGATGTGTAATCCTAAGAGTATCGCGGTCGCAAGGAACTGTCGTGGTGGAACCTTCGACGCGCAATTAAGGTATTGGCCAAGGAACTCTGTTTGCAAAGGGGTTGGTTACATCTGCTAAAGAAGTTTCAGTATAAAGAACAATGGTCGTCAATGATGAGTGGGCCCCTGTCAAACTTAGCAAAGAACAAGAAAATTACCCCGTTTTAACGCAGATGCAACAATGGAGAATAGGAACACGTCGACCTACAAGAAGTATTGAAACTCTCTCTAGTAGTTAAGTCATATTGGGTTCAGTGGGACTCTTTTATTCTGGAAAAAAGCTTATTAAAGCGAGTACTAGAGAACGATGATGGTTCCGCAAGCAGAAAACAGTTGCTCATTCCAAAGACTAGAGTAGCTGAAGTACGACAGTCCATCAGGAGGTCTTCTTGGTGCTAAGAAAACCCTTAAGAGAGTTTGTAAAAGGTTTTATTGGATGAAGAGTTCCGGTGATGTAAAGGACTGGTGTAAGAAATGTACTACATGTGCTAAGAGGAATGGACATCAGAAAAGTAAGATGCCAAACGGAAAACCTAAGATAGTGCATCAAAACCGGCTGGCGTCATTTGAGGATGGCTATGACCAAGGAGAAAGAGTAAACGAAAGTCAATAACCACCTGCCTTGTCTTTGAAGAATTTACTGGTGCATATAGAGGTACCAGAAAGGCAAAATATGGAGTTATAACCGAGTAAAAACGAGATATGTTCAGGCTCCTAAAGAACTACTTGCTGGTCCATAGCACTTGCGGCAGCATCAAAGCCACACAAGGACTGGCATTTGTTTTCCGGAAGAAGTTTGGTCGATTGTCAGAACTTCAAGGTGGTTAGTTACCAACTCCTGGAAAAGCCTTAAAACTTCAAGATAGATCACTTAACCTTTTCTATCTAGTTACAAAGAACACCTTCCGCGATCGATCCACTTAACGTGATGTATGGGAATCATTGCTTAGTTTAAGGAAACACGTACTGGAATCCAATGTATAGAAATTAGCCATGCCAAAGATTGAGTGCAATCATCTAGATTTGAGGATCATTAGAAACATGGTGGAAGTAATCTTTCAAGATACCAGTGTCCAAATATTAGTCTGAAGTCATTCCCTCAGTGTACAGGTTATAGTGAAGACTGCTCCTTGTCACTTCCATGCATCTGGAAATTGTAAAAGAGGATCCAGTTGCAGAAACAACCATTTTGTTTTAGTTTCGTAACAGTTCCAGGAGAAACTATTTCTTAAGGAGGGGTCAATGTAATGTTATTTCCAACCAATCTGGTCATCATCTGATCCTTTGGGCTCCTCTGTCTTGTTTAGGCCTTTTTACGACCCCACTAGTCCTTAAATATTTAATCAAGGGGACAAACCCCGTTTACCCAACTATAGTGACGCCTATGCTCACAGATAGCCTGTATTATTTATCAGCCTTTACAGAAGAAATTTCGAGAAATTGCCGAAGACGCATGTCTAATAAATGCTGAGAACGAGAATAATCTAGCGTATACACCAATTTATATATATAAATGAGCTGTGTTTCACAGGAAGTCAGTCAGTTAAAGTCGAGTCATAGCTGTGAGAACATCGATAAAGTAAATGTGATACAAATTAGTATATCTAAGTAAATTGTTAAATACATTATATGTGTTAAATAAATTTGTGCTTGAGTAAAAATAAATTAATTAGTACGTACATAGTTTTTAAATTAAATAATCGTTACAGTATTTCATCAAAAATTAATTAAAATTATTTAACAAAATTTCGTGGAAATAATAAATTCCATTAAAAAACTACTTTAAACTAGGTTTTTTTCACCATTAATACTTCCCAAGTCATCTAAATGGCCTACAGTGTTGCAACTAAAGTCCCAAATGCTTACTGTTTCACCTTTTGGGAGTCCTAGAACTATAATCTAAAAAGCATACGAAACAAAATGTATATGATCGACTATATTCCTTGACGAGGCCCTCTAAGGTACAGAAGTATATTTATTAGTTTATAACAATTTTGAGAATAGTCTAAACTCTGATATTCATTACCAAGGTATTATCAAAATATTTTCTAAGAAAACGATTGAATTGTTTTGGCGCATATCCAAAGTTTGTATATCCAATGTTCAAAGTTTGTTTTACGAGACATTATCATGCCAAGCGGGAGCCTTTTCATTATGACGTGTATTCAAGAAATGCAAGAAATGCAAACGTTGATTTCAAGCCGCGCTCCTAACATCAACTTTGGAATGTTTTGGCTAATAATTCAAAGCTCTTCCGTGTTAATAAAAATTATTCAAATTGAACTTGTAGCTTTTATTTCGTCTGATACTTAATCAGAAAAGGCTATCTTGGATTTTTAGAAGATTTATTGCTAGAAAGGTATTATTTTCGATCTTATTGGGATCTGAAATTAAGCTCACATTGTGCTGTCTGTAATTGACATTTAAACTATTTGTAATGGTTTGTTTTTATTTAAATTTTGTTTCATATTGTGCGTTTTCGAGTAAAAACTATTAATGTAATTAATTTTTAGAGAATAATGACCATGGAGAAAGGAAAAATAAAATATCTTATGGTTTTGGATACTTTTAAAGTAAAGGTTATATTTTTATTTCATAATAGTCACCCTCCAATATTATTTCGGATCTTCACCTTTCGGGGTCCGTATTACGAAAAACATGTTACCCTATTCCGTCGATTTGTCTGTAGTCGCCTGTCGTCGTCTATCGTCGTCTATCGTCATCTGTCGTCGTCTGTCGTCGTCTGCCGGTCAGTTATATACAGGGTCAGCAGTTTAAAAAAATATATTTTTCGATTTCGACTAAAATTGGTATCTAAGTACTTTAGAAGTCGAAGATAGCAGATCCTAAATAAGTTTTTAAAAATTCAAAATGGTGTTGAAAGAAGTCGCACTCGATAAAAATGGTTCTCCTTGAATGAAAATAATAAAATGCGTCCTTTTGGTTTATGTAACTGGACCATTTTAAAAGCATCCGATCATTGTCGTTCAATAACGGTGAACGGTGGGATCAAGAGAAGGATCGATGGAGAGAGAAACGTGAAAAAGGGTTTT